CCTCAGTTGCCAGCCCTTTCCACATGCGCCTCCGTACCTCTGCACTTTATTTCCGCACCTCCTCTGAGTCTCAGTGTGCTTTTCTCTTTCCTTCTAGTTGTAGAATTTCCACTCAGCCAGCCTTCCTGTGGTTCTGGATGATGTCTGTTTTGTCTTTTAGTTGTATTTTTGAAGTAGTTGTGCTAGGCAGCAATTTCCGGTGTTTACCTATGCCACCATCTTGGTTTCTCAAATGTATTATTATAAACATTTTTCATATACTGTTATACTATTTTAAAAAACTTCTACTGCCTCTGAAGTTATGTCCTTGTCTTCATTCTTTATATTATTAATATCTTCTCTCTCTCTTTTTTTTTTTCCGATCAACCTTGACCTAACATTTGCACATTTTACTAGTCTGTTCAGAGAACCAGCTTTTAGTTTGTGTATTTTATTAATTCTTTGGTTTCTGTGGTAACAATTTCTGCTCTTATCATGATTATTTGTATGCCTCTACTTTCTGTGGGTTTTCTATATTACTTTATTTAATTTTTCTAATTCCTTGAATTGAATGTTGAACTCATTGGTTTTCATTTTTCTTCCTCTCTGTCTTCTTCTTCCTCCTCTTTCTTTAATATAAACATTTAAAGCTATAATGTTTCTCTCAAAATACTGTTTTAGCTGTTTCACATGAGTATAGATACTTACCTCTAATTCCATTCTAGATATTTTCAAATTACCAATATGATTTCTTCCTTAACACAAAAGTTATTGCCCAGCAGGTGTGGATCAATGGTTGAGTGTTGACCCTTGAACCAAGAGGTTATTGCACCGGTTTGACTCCTAGTCAAGGCACAACTTGCATGTTGTGGTCTTGATCTCAAGAAGGAGGCATCCAGGGGAGGCAATTGATCAATGTTTCTCTCTCATTGATGTTTCTATCTCTCTCTCCCTATCCCTTCCTCCCTCTCTAAAATCAATAAAATGCATTTTAAAAATGTTATTTACAAGTGTGTTTTAAAATTTACAACATGCCAGTTGCTTTTGGTTATGTTATTATTATCACTAATTGAAATGCATTGGGGTAAGAGGCATAGCCTATATATCAAGTGTTTAGTGTTTGCTGGGGTTTGCTTTGTGGCTTAGTGTGTGATCAATCATTGTAGCTATTTCATGTCTGCTTGAAAAGGATGCATGCCCTCCAATTGTTTCATGCTCCTGGATTATCAGAACACATTGGTCACCTGATCTTTTTCCTCCCTTTCCCATCATACACCCCCACCTCAACCACACTTGTTCATACTCACTCTTCTGCTTTTTTGGGTTTTCTCTATTTCTGGTATTATTTCCCTTACTTTCTTACACACGCTACTCTGTGTTTAAAGGAACGAACGCTTTTTACATTTTCTCTAAATTTCCCAGGTGTTTGGAGCCAGCTTTTTAGGTCATCTAGCCTTCCACATTACTTTAACTAGAAGCCAAACCAGTGATCTTCAAACTATTGTTTAAAAGAGTTGAAAAATCCTTTATTCAGGAAAGCTTGCAGCAGGATTACTGATAGCTCTAACAGGTTGTCTAGGGCCAGTCACAGACAATGTCTGACATTAGCCTGCAC